GTCGAGTCGAGTCTTTGCAAGGTTGTGCTGTATTTCGCAACGCAGTAGACATTTGGCGCAGTAGGGCGAAAACATGCAGCTTGACAATACTAGGCGGATAGGCTACTGGCAATAGGCAGAAGGCAGCACGCAGGCAGCTGGCAAGTTCAGCTCCAAACCCTGCCAGGTTGTCCTCTTTGAGTCGGAGAGCAAAAGCGGGCTCCAGCAAGCACCGATTCTTGCGCGTCTCAGCGCTGGTCTCAAGGATGCGGTCGTCAACGAGGCTTTGCAGGATGATTTGACCAAGGCCCGCCTGCCTGAGGCCATGCCGTTTCTGAACGAGGTCGCGCGCAAGGCTTGCCGCCAGGTTTTGGATTACTTCTACAACTCCGAAGCCAAGCGGCAGATAGCCAGAGCAAAGCTTCAGGCCATGCCTTCTTTGAGCGACGAAGAGGTGTACCGCAAAAAGGGTTTGCAGAGTGTGCAGCAAATAGCTACCAGTGCCCGCGCTGTGGAAGCAGAGCTGAAGAAGGCTGAGGACTGCCGGCAAGCCCTTGCAGCTCTGAAGTCTGTCAGCTTTGGCGAGGGAGAGTCTGCGGTTGCTACTGAGCTGCAAGCGTGGCAAGCAAAGTACAACCAAGACCCCCTGCTACCCACTGGCGGCAACTGCTGCGTTTCACGTGTCGGCCATTGCCGCGCTATGCACTCTTCGAAGCGATGCTGTGGCCAACAAGGAAAGCAAAGCCTTGAAAAGTTTGGCTGACGTGGCTGTGACTTTGCGATCCAGGTGGGAGTGCCTCCAAGATGAGCAGGTCAAGAAAGATGGCGCTACCTTGTTGCAAGAGTGCGAGGAAATTGCCAAAGCTCCCAAGCAAAGAAGCTCCAAGTCCAGGACTACAGGTGCTCAGGAAGCTGAAGTTGCACCCAAGCAGGAGGAACACCCTGCAGCCCCGGCCTCAGGCCAAGTTCAAGGCAGAGAAGCTTTCAAAGCAAGTGAGCCAAAGCTTGCCGCCGCACCGGTGAACACGAATGAAGCCAAGGCAGCCCCAGCTGTCCCAAGCTTGGACAAGAACGGCGAGAAAGAGAAGAAGGACAAGAAGGAGAAGAAGGAGAAAAAAGAGAAGAAGGAGAAGAAGGACAAGAAGGAGAACAAAGAGAAGAAGGAGAAAAAGGAGAAGCAGAAGGCGCAGAAAGATAAGGCAAAGAAGAAGGCCGAGAAAGACGAGCATGAGGACCAGCCAGCCAGCAAAGATAGGAAGCGCAAGACACCTGAACAGTCGGAGGCATCAGGCGCGAAGCAAAGCCGGCCAGCAAAAGCGCCCTTGAAAGACGTGAAGCCAAAGGCAAAGGCCAAGGCCCAGGCCAAAGGTAAGGCTAAGGCCAAGTGCGCCAGACGTCAACTGAGGCTTCAGCCGCCAAGTTGTCTGCGCTAGTGGTTGAAGCTCACAAACACTGTAGTGCCAGCAGTGCAAAAATGAGCTGCTTGCCAGGGCTATGGTGTCTTTTTTTTTAAAGGGACCCCAAGGAGGAAAACAGTGTTTCCCAGGTTGGCCAGGCTGAGGGGAAAGGCTTGAGGCAACTTGAAGTCACGTAGCCGCCTGTCCGCGCGTTCCCAGTGGCTCGAGCTTCCGCTTGCGGAAGTGCGTCGGTCTCAGTCAGCTCCCAGCCGGCCTTGGTTGCAGTACCTTGTTTGATTATTAGCTCACAGCCGACAGTTAGATCAGTGGTGCTGGAGCGTGGCGCACGAACACACACACGCGCACAGGAACACGCACGAGCCTTTTCCACGCAGTAGAGGGTCTGGCCACGTTTTCGTGGCCAGAAGACGCGCCATGCCACCGAGCGAGCCGCCCGCAAAGCGGCCGCGGGCATTGCAAGAGCAAAAATCAGGAGAGGGAGCGCTGATGTTGGAGGCTTCCAGCCGGGTTACTGATGCTCAGGACATAGTGCAGGGAACCCTTTTGCCTACCTTAGCCCGGGAGAACTTGGAATGCTTCTCTCACCTTGGGCAAAGCCTTGCTTTGGGCAAGAAGAAAGAGTCAGCCGCGGCTGAGGCGCTGACGCTGACCTGGGGCTCCGCTTGCTCGGGAAGTGAAGGAACGCAGTTTGTGGTGGAGGCGTCAAATTTGGCTTTGGCTGAGGCTGGCGTGCCTGTCCACTTTGAGCACGCTTTCTCTTGCGAGCTTAGCAAAAAGAAGCGGGTCTGGATTGGCACAGTTCTCGATGCTGGCGGTCTGTTCGGCAACTCAGCGCCTCCCAAGCTTCCTCACGAGCGGGCTTGTGTGTTTTCGGACATCAAGAGCCTGAGCCAAGACGAGGCTGAGTGCAGTACTCACAACGGGCGCTGCAAGGTGAAGAGCGTGGACTGTTTGTTCATAGGCACTTCCTGCAAGGATCTTTCGAGGGCAAACAGCTCCGTGGACCGCAGCAAGCTTGTTCTGTCAGAAGAAACAAGCAAAGGAGCCTCAGCGCAAACGTTCAGAGGCATGATCGCCTACTGCCGCGGCCACCGGCCAAGGTTCGTTATCTTCGAGAATGTGGACGCCTTGGACGACAAAGTCTCCTCATGCCAGCAGAGCAACCTCGATCTGCTCCAGCACGCTTTTGCCGATCTCGGGCATCGCGGGCAGCGGATCATGTCGGATGCGCAGCAGTTTGGCCTTCCTTGCCGGCGGCGCAGGTTGTACATGCTGTTAGTTGATGTGAGCAGCCCGCGCTTCAACCTGGATGCAGAGGCCGCTGGCCGGGTTTTCGCATCTTTCCGCTCGCTGCTTGGCAGCTGCATGCGAACCCCGCCTTGCTCCACTGCGTGCATGCTCACACCCAAGGGGCAGGCCGCAATCCTGGATAGCGCGCTGCGTGAGCACCAAGCAGCAGCCGCGATGTCGGCATCCAAGAAGCAGCTCCCGCCTACATGGGTAGACAAGCACATGGCCTACGCAGATCAGCTTGGTGTCAGATGGGCTTCCCCGGTCGATGCAAGCTTGCTCGAGAACCCATGTTATGCTTGCTTGACCAAGCGCGAGCAAGATGCGCTTGTCCTATCCAGAGTTGATGGGCCTAAGGCCGAGTTTAGAAACTTGAGCCAGAGCGTGGGGCGCATCAACGCCAGGAGCACGAAAGAAGAGCTTGGCAGAGAGGTGGCCCCGACAATGCTGCCTGGCCAAATGATTTGGGTCGAGTCCCAGCAGCGCTTGCTGACGGGCGAGGAGGCGCTCATCATGCAAGGGTTTCCGATTCTGCGGCTTCAGGCCAAGGTTGTTTCCCTGCCAGAAGAGGTTTCGACCCAAGGCTTTCTGCACGATTTGGCAGGCAATGCAATGGCCTTCCCTGTGGTCCTTGCAATTTTTCAGGCAGGCTTGGCTAGCCTGCCTTGGAGAGCGAGGGCCACGCCACAAGAAGAAGAAGACGGCCTTGCTGTGGCCATGGCTGCACTGGCCGAGTTGGAAGGGCGCGACTTTGCCAGCGATGATGATGCTTCTGATTGAGCAGGGCAACAGGCTCGTCCTGGCGTAGTGCTGCCGGATTCGATGGCCCCCGCACGAAGAAAAGAGTCTGCCGCAGCTTGTTTCAGGGCGCCATGTCAAACAGGTTGCTTGAAATGCGCCGTGATTCAGTTAGCTCAGAAGTATGTTGAACTGTTTGAGGGGAAGGTTTTGCAGTGTTAATTCTTGCACCTTTACCTTTTCTGGAACCTATTTACTATGTGTTTCGCCCTTACTCGCAGGTTGTATTCAATATTACAAAGAAGAAAAACCCAAGAAACAATGATGGTGATGACGTTGTGGCTTTCTACAAAAAACCATTCAGAATATGACAAACATTTTTTGGAAATACATTCAACATTAAAACATGTATTAAAACATGTTTTGAAACATTTTTTGATCTTCGAAACATGTTTAAAACAATTTTTGGAATTATAAACATTTTTTGAGTCTGCCGGGCCCCTCCAGACTATCAGAGGTTTTAAATCCGTTCAAGCTTTTGCCGTCTGTCAACTCGACTTGCTTCAGCTCTGTGCAAGACCCAGCGTGATGAAGCATGATCACGTAGTCCGGCTTCTGAGATCTTCTGAGTCCAATACCACAGTGCGTGAAGGGCATGACTCACTATGGCCTCGCCCAAAAATGACCACCTCGAGGATCTTCTCAAAGCATGCAGGCTACTCCGTGTTATACAAAACTATTGGGCACAGGGCTCCCTCAGCCGAAATGGTATGTCGGTGGTGCATTCACCTCCACATGTGCAAACACTCACACGCCCCAAGAACTTCAGTCTTAAGGCTTGCCATTTTGGTGTATGAATTCGCGCCATGATACATCTGGCACAAAACCTTCGCTCTCCACCTCCTTCGGCTATAGGTTTGGGGGTGTTGGCACTACGCATGCGTGCGTGCATCAGTGTGTGGGTGGCTGGCTGGCTGGGTGGCGTTTGATTTCTGAGCATTGCTGCCGGGAGGCACCTTGGCGTCATTTTGGATGTCGCTTTCCCTTGCCCTGAGGGTTTTTGAGGTCGCTTTCCGCCCGAACACAAGCAAGGTAAGGGGTCAACAGAGCAATTAATGGGGGCCAAGTACTGTCAACACAATCCCACTTGGCATGCACCAAATTCTGAGATGCCCGCCAGCTGCTAGTGTTCCTCAGCAGCAGGAAGGTTGCATGGGCCACGCGCACCATGACCATCCTTGGCGAGGGAAGCAACCTTCCACCTCGCTTCTGGAAGGTGCAAAAAAACCCATCGCTGTCTTTATAAGTGGTCGTGATTGCAGAGCTTATGCCGACATATCGTAACTCACCTTGTTCCAGGGAACCGCGCAGATCTTTGGAAAGGCCGTAGGGGGAGGGAGCATGTGGCTTCAAGACTCTTGCGGTTGCTCGTTTTATGGTGGAATTGGCAGCTCGTAGGCAGGGCAGACTTCATGCAGCCTGCCCTCAGGTTGTGGGGGTTTGCGTTTAACCTACTAAAAGTTAAACTTGTAGGGGATCTGTCCAGTAAGGCCGCTCTTTTTGGGGGGGTCCCAGGCTGATGACGGAGCCCTCCTTGGCGGAGGAGCGGGACAGCTGGCGGAGCGCCGGGGTCTTCTTCGAGGTGCTGCACAAGTACAAGACGGTCCCGGAGGACTTCGGATTTTCAGACGTGGGTCCCCCCATAAGGTTTATATGATCGCAAAATGTTGACCAAAGGAGTAGTACTAACAGGATGGATTTTAGTTTATACCTATCAAAAACTGTCTAAGAGTACTTCTACGGGATCAACGGATAGCATTTGATGGCTGGCGGAATCGTTTGGGTGTCCGTTTGGGATTGCTGGGGATTGTCAAGATTCGGACTATTGGAATTTCAATCGGCCGACGCTTGTTAGAGGGTTCTTGCAAATGATTTCTTGGGAGGTTGATGTCCATAAATTTGCATCACGAAAAGAGGCCCCAGCTTCGGACACCCCAACTTTCAGAATACACAAGGCGCAAGGGGGTCGGTGTCATACGGTGACTACAAATAAATATGTGGAGGGCGGGCCGGAGTTGGTACAAAATACCGTTTGACCTATTCAATCCATCGGGATGTTTATTTGTGGGCGCCGTAGTCAAGCCTAGCACTTGCATGCAACATTTCACACACACACACACACGTCGCTAAGACTGACGCACCAACCCCCAGGCGCAGACATCTTATGATAGCGTTATCCAATGTCAGTTCCTGACTCGATTAAATCGTGTGATGCACACGCTGAGCCTTTTGGTGGCTCCATGGCGGCCAAATCCAGCAAGGCAGGGAGCTTCACCGGTTCACTCCACCGGTTTTTGCTGCAGGATCGCGAGCTCGTGGACTTGGCGTTCCAGGCGGTCAAGCGCCTCCGGGACTGGGGTCGAAGTCGGGGGAAAACCCTGCCATGGCGAGAGAGAGACGTGAGAGGCCAACGGGGACTAGGGATTGGAGCAGGCCGTGTATTGGCAAAGATCCAGTTTTTTTTGCTTTGGGTGGGTATGTTCTTGAAGGCAAGTAGTTATATAAATATGGGCTACCTGAGCTTCGTTGGGTGCGACTGAGCAGCTCAAAAGCTCACGTTTGTGTTTTTTGCTCGAGCTTTCAGCCTTGTTGCACATGAGGTTTGCTTGAACCTGCGTGTTCAGCGCGGTACTTTCCGTGGTCAAAGACTAGTATGTTATTTGAAAGATTGAAAAGTTGGCTTCTCAAGCAGCCGTGTTGAACATGAGGTGTGTGAGAACCTTCAGCTGTCAGCTCCACCACTTAAGTAACTAGCAGTTGGCCCTCAGTTGGCCTTCATGGCGCCCCCATGGCCTTCATGGCGCTCCCATGGCTCCTCAGGAGGCGGTGGCTCAGTTCCACGACTCCTCCAACTCCTTGCGGGGCTTGAAGACGGCGAGCCTTTTAGCCTCCGAGGCGCACACGATTTTTTCGGAAAGTTCGGCGAAGCTGCGAGCTGTGCAGACCTAACGCTCCAATGGGCGCAGCTTTCAATCCACGGGTTTGTGAAACCCGATCCCTTCACCCATCGTTGTGGATCCCGTGGTGCGCTTTGGTCTCGGTGAGAAAAATAGAGCATCGCATTGCAGAGAGGTGGAGACCTGGGCCAAGCTTGCAGCTTCGGCGCCTCGGAAGGCCGGCGCGCGGGCGTGCGTCAAAGCGGAAGCCCGTCGAATGGGTGGTGCTGTTTTGGAGTGTGGGACCCCCTGGCCCTTGTTTTGCAGCGTGGTCAGCGGTGTTTTAGCCGGTTTTTCATCTCTCGTTTTTTGTTGTTGGCTTCCCCAAAAACAGTCGAACGAAGGCGGCGCTGGTGTCTGCCTCCCGCACAGGAAGTGGAGCAACCAATTCCAGCAGTTTCTTGTACTCTGACACTTGCGCTTGCTAGCTTGTAGGAAGTGCCAACAGGGTTCAGAACAGTGGCTCAGATATCCCTTCTCACGCACGCATGCGCACGCATGCACACACACACAAAGTAGTTCGCTTGTGCGCGGGCTACTGGCTGCAAGTGTGGTCAAGTACTTTGTCGACGGTTATGCGTCCTCAGAATTCATCATGCGTTCAAATTTGAGAAATCGGGGTGAGTGACCTGTGTTTTTTGTTGATGGAAAACATGATGTTGACCCGAACTTCAACCCTGCAGCGCATGCCTTGAGATCTGGAACAAACCACTTTGTTTCATGAACTCGGGTCGGAATCCGAGTATTTGTACGCAGGTCGCGGCTCCCGCCGGGCCACTGGTGTCCTATGGCTCAGAGTCTTCCAGTCGCTCGGCTGGACCTTGCCCCAGCTGACAAGGGGGAGTTTGCAATCAACCTACTAGGAAGTGTCCTTTCGGATTGCCTTTCTAAATCCGCAGGCAGGTGCGCAACCAGAGAATCCTGGGGACCTTGCCTAGTGACTGGGAGATGGCCACAGTCATGGTAAAGACGTTCGGGACAGTCCAATCCCTTCAAACGGTGTGCTCCCTGCCCTGTCTTTGGAGGCTGTCCATTGGCCCGTCGGCGCCGCATGGGTACCATGTGACTGGGTCAGGCGAGCAAGCTACCGTTCAGTTGTGGGGCCACATCTAAGGTGAAGAAGAAGCTGACAGCAAGAGGCAGCGGCAAAGGTAGCAGCGGCATGTTGGGACGGCGCTTCTGCCGCCAACATGCCGCAACCCGCAGCCAGCCAGCAGCTTGCAAGCGCGCAAGGGGCAAAAAGTGCGCTCAAGCGCTGAGCCACAAGGCCTGGAGCAAGGAGCAAGGCTCAGAAATTTGCATGTCCCTCTGCTCACAGATGGATGGTCGACAGCGGTAACCGCTTCAGGACAAAGCTTGTTGTAGTGTTGAAATCGCTTAGTCCACGTGTTGTTGCCAATTTATGATCTATGCTTGATAGTTTGATATCTCGACAGCTGGCCATTTGTGACAGCTACACTCCTCGCAGCCTGCTTGTGTTGCGGGTATGCCTCAGGAAGACAAAACCCTCAAGGCAGCAGCGTACAACTTTCCGAACTCGCCCCCTTTTGAACATCACCACCCTTACCAGTCTTACCACCTCTGCCTCCCGTGTAGACACGCATTCAAGGTAAACACGTTCCACACTTCTCAGCCTCAACCATCTTTGGTGCCCAAGGCATTGATGCCCGGCAACGTCTTGACAACCTGCAGCTGGCTCAGGGCTTTGGGTCGCGAGTTGGCATCGCCAAGGTGAAAAGTACGGATCCAGCAGTTCCAAGTGTGACACGTAGAGAGCTGGTCTTAGGCCGAGAAGGACCGACAGAGGCATGAGCTTTAAGGATCCCAAAACTGTTTGGTGGGCTCATGGGGGCCCATTCCACGCTTGCTTGTTTGCATGCTATGAGAATTTGCATGTCAGGTGGCGGGTTTTGAGTCACGACATGCAGTAGGTGCTTTCCCGTCGAACGGCATGGCTTTTGAATGCCGGATGCCTATTTATGAGTTCGAGTCTGCTTTTGACGACGGGGGGTCTGTTAGGAGAAGTCGGGAGTGTCGGGCAAACGGCAAATCTAATCTCGTTTTCACTTTTTCAGGAATCTGGCCTTTCATTTATATACGTGAGATGCAGAGCTGTTGCCATTTGTGGATGCATGGCTTCGCAATACTTTGAGCTGTCAAAGGCAGTTCATGCCTGCATTCTGTTTCACGTCTAGCGTGGCACACAGGACAATGTGGATCATGGCTGCAGAGCTTCGTCGGATAGCATGAGAACAATCACAGGAATGAAGCTTGAAGCTGCAGTGACGGCGGTTCCCACTATATATATATATAGCTAAAGTGCGTATAGAATCCATATTGGCATGAACTTGCCTCGGAATATGGAGGAACAAAGTCGAATTATTTGGCACCTAAGGGCAAAGCCGTGTTGGAATTGATTCTTGCTTTTGTCTAGCCATGTCTGGCCCAGGACTAGCGACACCATCTTGCAGGATTGGCAGAGGCCCCATCGGGTGACTGATGCGTGTTCCAGCTGAGCAACACAGATAGAAGCACAACGGGGTAGCGACATCGACTGGATGTTTGGATTCCTCACCCCCAAGGTTGGACTGTGGGAATTGCTCCACGCCTTGGCCAACTTCCGAATTTGAGAGACTTTCGCTTGCAGCCACTTGGGAATGTGAAGCTTTCAAAACAGAGCAACGTTCAATGCATTGGCTGCCTGGTTGGCCAGACCCGCTCTCTGTTTTATTCGAACACTTCACCTGGGCTGTGTAGAGGTCCCATTGTGTCAGCTTGCCAATACCGCCCTACACGATGCATCACATGTGGCTAACGCCACACGCCACCAGTTGGCACAGCTCAGGGGGGCAAAGCGGTGTTCAGACAATGGCGACATGCAGTTGTGCGATGCCGCGGCAGTTTGGATGACAACAGCGGGCCAGTGGTATCCAGTGGTCACAGCCTTGTTTGGGCCGTCAGATGCATGTTGTTACGACTATGGGATGTCTTGTTCAGAGTGCCACACGCACACGTGATGTGCACAGTTTTGACTGATTGTCAAGCGTGACGTGTTCTTGGCAGGATCTTCCTTGTGTGGCCTATCTTGTAGAGCAAGGCCAGAACTTCAGGCATCTTTTATGGTTTTTGCTCAAATCTTGTGGTTTTGAACTACTCCCTATGCGGTTGCAAGCGCTCACTGGCTGTCTCTTCTTGCGTGTGTGGTTGTCGTATGTGTTTGTGTGCCTTGCACTAACCTCGTTTTCTGCAAGCTCGATCCCCCAACCTAACGTGTCATTCATCCAGCCATCCTGTGTGTTTCACTTATCAAGTGGATAAATGGGGTGAGGCTGCTGACCGCTCCTAACACGATCCAGCCACCTGCCAGGACCAATTTGTGGAAGAGGCGGTGCCATGGCCAGAAAACCGCGCAGATTTCATCCGCTTCGTTGGTAGGGCCGGTGAACTGCGTTCGAACCACCTGCTCTGGACACATGATGTCAGGGAATCGGCGCAGAAGTTAGACGGACAATGTGCGCGGTATCCATTCAGTACCGCCCTGGGACCCTTGACTTAGGACTGTCCATGAATTACTTGCCTTGCTTTCCGGGTCGCAGCTGGGCAGTGAAGCGCTTACGAATTTTCAATCTGCAGGATCCCCGGCTGACAAAGAAGCTGTTGCTGTTTGTAGATGATTCGATGATCATGTTATCATGTATGAGTCATTTCCTTCCTTTCAAAGGTGCGAACCTGCTGGGCACCGGGCGCCGTTCTGCCTGTGCATGCTCTCATCTATCCCAGGCGCACTTACAAGATTAAGGCGGCCATTTTCCCCACAGCGCGAGCCACAGAGTGAATGATCGAAGGACTTGGACTCAGCTGATTGCTACTCCCAGCCAGTAAAGTATGATAAAGTTAGTTGCCAAACAGCAAAGTCAGTTGTCCACTCTGAACTGAGAAACAGCTGGAAGCCTACAACAAATACTGTACTGGTGCATCCCCGATGTGATGTTCCGACTGCTCAAGCTTGCTCACTGAATGAATGCCAGCTGATGTTTGCGTGCGTCATTTGGAGAAAGACGACAGGAGTTGGAGTTGCATTTTGGAGGGAATCCTGTTTGTTGATAAATTTTGTGCACCCCCAGAGTTTTGGGCCTTTCTGCCAAAATAAACATGTGCAAGGTCCTCCTGTTCTAACCCCCCAGCGCCAAGAAACAGAGGGCACAGGAGGTTCTTTCAATTCTCGAAGTTTTAAAGCACCTGACAGAAACCATGCCCCACACTTTTTGTTTTTGTTTGAACAGACATCCACCGCAAATGACACCGGAGGCCTCAAAGGTAAGTGGCCGGGCTTCAAACCTCGCATGCGATACCCTCCCACCAATGAACATGGAACCTGACAGGGTCTAAATGGTTTTCCAGCAACCCCTTGTCAGGTTCCAGGTTAATTCGCGGGAGGGTATGTTGATATATATATAAATATGTATATAGTATATAGTATATACATAAATATATATGTTCCAGGCCGTGGATTGGTTTAGGGTTGGTTCAGGGTTGGTTCAGGGTTGGTTTGCGGTGGGTTTCGGGTGGGTTTGGGGTTTGGGTTGATGTAGGCTTAGGGTTGGGGTTAAGGAGGGGTTGCAGGGTGGTTTGGTTTAGGGTAGGATGTTGCGAGGGGTGCGGGGGTGTTGGTTCACGGGGTGAAAGGGGGAGTCTAGGACCGAAGCTGCAGGGCTCGCACGGTACTGGACAGCATCCCCAAGATGCGGATGATGCGGGGGAGTGGGGACCATACCATTGGGGGGGGGGGGGGTACGTGGCCCAGGGACTGGTACATATATATATATATATGTATATATTTAAACGCGGTGTTGTTGCTCCCTTTTGTCAGTGTCACCCTGTGGTACCTGGGGCCTCTCCTTGGGGACGGCACAGGTCCGGGAGCTGGGCGACATGGCGCTGGCCTCGCACCTCAGACACAGGCATGATCCGCGAAGGGCCTGGGTCTTCAGTGAACACCTCGCGCAGAGGGTCCCTTGGTACTGGCTTTTGGGGGGTAAAAAGGGGTCGTTCAGTGCCTCCTTGGAAGGTACCCAGGGATCCGCTGGGACGGTGGACACCATATACCACCAGGAATTGGACCGCAGAGTTTTTAGTCCTTGTTTCCATGTACCAGGGTTCCATGTGGGGTACCTAAATTTGACCCACAGCCATATAGTTTTTGTGTTGTTGCAAGTGCCGTTAGGTAGGTTTGAAAGCAAAAAAGGAAAGCCACTCTTAAACTAGAGAATACCCCTAGTTTGACACATACGCATATGGTCATTGATGTTGGCTTGGGAAGGAGGTGGTAGCCACTTGGGCTGTTTTATGCCACTACTCGCGGAAAATTGGGGGAGTCGAGCGCGGTGGGACTGAAGGTGCTGCCTCGGGTCTTTTTAGTGCTACACTTCGATTGCTATTGGGTTGGATCTTTAGACTTGAACTTTTGGGAAATCAAGGGTTTTCCGAATTGAACCCATGGGTTACTGTAAAGGAACTTTTTTGGGAAATCAAGTTGGCTTTCCGAATTGAACCCAGAAAAAGAAAAGAACTTTTAAGTTGGTTTTCCGAATTGAACCCACGAAAAGTTGGAAACTTTTTGCAGAGGGGTCGTTGCAGCAACCAAGACACAGTGTTCTCGCCGGGCTCAGGGCAGGATGACCCCGCATGATCTGTACGGTGACCGACAGACAGCTGAAACACTGTTCTCCTCGCTTGGGCTGGCCAACTGAAGCAATGATATTGTTTGGTCACATGGGCGGTTGGTTGTCAGGGCATGACCAGATTCTAAAAAAGCCACCAGCTTATCTGGACTTTCCCCGCTTTTGTGCAGAGTTTGTGTGTTTTCAGGCATTTTTGAGTCTAAGTCAAACGAGACCGAGACATTTAGTCATTCGTTCAACTGCAAGTGGCGGGCTGCCTGTCGTTTGATTGCTGCAGACAACGCAAGCAAGTTTGGCTGTCGAGCTTGTGACAGCAGGAAAAATAGTGGGTTTCTGCACACAGATCTGGGTGCTGCTTCGCCGATTCGCGGTGCCATGCTGTTCCCTAGAATCGTTGATTTCGGCCATTGCAAGTCCGATAACTTTGCACTCGGGAACATCCGAAGCGGTGAGCAACTCATTTGGCAAGTCGTCGCCCGACCTGTCCAGCTTGGCTCGGGTGCGCATTTTGTGGCCACCCCCAAGGGGTCAGGCCGGGTTTGGGTGGAGTGCTTCGGGTGCTCTGTGTGTTTTTTGGGGGGGATGGAGACATCAGCAACCTCATGGACAGCAACATGTGCTTTGGGAATCAGACTTTGCCGAAAGGTTTCTGGGAGTAACCAAGCAACACACACTCAGAGGTTGTCATTGTGAGGGAATGGCTGAAGAGGTCTGTGTGAAGCTGAGTGCCCGGAGTTTTATTTGTTGTCCTTTGCGAGTTTGCATGATGCTTGTTAAGCAAGATTCAGCATGCTGACTGCGCGAGTTGCCTACACTGCAGTACATGATGCTGCTTGCTGGGTTTATTCCGCGCTTCTCGTTTGTGTGTGGAAGAGAGTAGAAACGGGGCCTACAATTTTTGAACAGATGCAAACCTTTGCTCTCGCAATTTGCAATATGCCCCTTTAGCATTGCACTAGTTGTTTAAACTCCCTACGCTTGTACATAAGAAGCTGTGATGCATCGGAGGGTTGTTTTCATTAGCACGACCAGCACATGCGAGTACTCTGATCTTGTTCGGCTGCAGTCACCACAAAGCTACAGCAATGGCCGGCTTGCCTACACGGGCTTTCTTGCAACTCTCGCACTTGCCAACCCATCTTTTTGATCACGAATATTCACGAATCATTTTGTTGTTGTTCGTTGGATTCATGATCGAAATAGGGTTTTGTTTGGTTCTTGGACTTTTTGCTGTTCTGATCAGTTGGTTTTTGATCACATTATGTTCGTTGGGTTTTGTTGTTTTTTTGGCTGTTTGGCCATTGTGCGAGAGTGTTTCTTCGGGCGTGAGGGTTCCGCAGGCCGCCGAGACACAGTCAGGTTCTTGGCATGTAACCAACACATCCAATGGCGAATCCAGCTGAGATACCTGCCGAACAGATTCCCTTTGCCCCGCAACAGCTGAAGCATCAATCTTTAGATTTCCATGTGGTTTCTTCCACGACAAAAGCATATGCTTGGCTTCCAAGGTGAGGAGGGTTGCAGGATCATGAAGGGTGTGCCGCAATGTGTGATCAGCGTTAAGCTGCTGAAGCGCAGCACCAGTCTTTTAGTGAGCCGTTTGGGCGATGATTTTCGCTTGGTGCATGCTCAGTAGTCACCAGCTGAAAGAAGCTGAAAGCTTAAAAAGCTAAAGCTGGGACCATTGAGTCCATGCAGCAAGCGTCCTGAGATGCATTGAACGTTACTATTCGAGGGCCTGAATTGGTTCTAGCTTGGCCACGTCCTTGTGGAAAAACAAACTGCTACGTTTGGAACCAGTTTCCTCCATTTCGATAAACACACACCGTTGTGTATCCCCTCAGTCAGGTTCCATGGCATGGTAGGAATTGGTTTTCCCTTCAACGACGTGCCAAGGTAAAAGGTTCAAACGGCGATGGGTAGCCAAAAGCATACCAATCCCAGATCCAAGGCAAGCCAAACAATAGTTGGTTGAAGAGAGAGAGAGAGAGAGAGAGAGAGAGAGAGACAGAGAGAGAAGGAGAGGGAGGGAGGGAGAGAGAGAGAGAGAGAGAGGAAAAGAGAGAGGGAAAGAGAGAGAGAGAGAGAAAGATGGCCAAAACACCGTGACTGCTACTGCTGCTGCTGCGGCTGCTGCTGCTGCTGCTCCTGCTGCTGCTGCTGCTCGTTGCTGATGCTGTGTTCTTCTTGTTGTTGCTGCTGTTGTGGTTGTGGGTTGTTGGCAGTTGCTCTTTGGTTTGCGGCGCTGGTTCCGAGCCGTTTGTCCCTTGCTGGTTCGGACTCCTTGCGCGTTATTCGCCCGTTAGGCCATGCTCGCGAGGCCCGCGTCAGCCACTTGGCTTCAGCGATCCGGTGCCTTGGGCCCTTGGGCTTGCTTTTTGGTCTTTGGTGCCTGGATTTCCATTCATTGAACCCAGCAAAAGTTAGGTTAGTCACTTTTAGCAGGGCATCTGAGGACCGCCCACACAAGTGGGGGTGCCATGCGCGGATTGGATGGTTAATTTCCAAGGTGACATGCCGGAAGAAATGGAGCAACATGGCATTTTGTGCCAGAGCTGAGTACTTGTACTTGAAGCTTGTTTGAATGTTCTCCAGAGTGTTTAGTGTCGCCAGTTTTGTCTTTTGTTTTGGCAGTTGCTTTCCCCTTGAACAGAGGACACAGGAAAGCGGTTTTTTGTTGTTGCACATAGGCTTGATTTGAAGCACCAAAATGCGAGGCTTTGAACAGCTGCGTGTTTCACTGCAGAGCTGCTCCTGGAAGATGAGGGGAACCTTGGGTCGCTTCATTCACTGGCTGTAAATGTTTGATATACTTTAATGTAAACCCCGGATTAATAAACCCCTGGTTGATTAATAGAGGGGTGTCCCTAGTTTTAGTGGGGATTGCTCACTTTTGGAGGGGAACACCCCCCTGACAATGGGACGGGTTTGTTAATCCTGGGTCAACATTGTGTGTTGGACACACGCCCGTGGCCGGCATGCTGAAACACTTCCCTTCGGACCATGGAACCTACCGACGCCAGGGCTGGACACCGATGCGACTGCCAGAGCTGAACGAAGTTCAGTTCAAGAAGAGGAGAGAAGGGTGGAGACGGTGGACAAGTTGTGAAGCTGAATTTCGCCATGTAGCTGTTGGTCAAAACCAATGGTGCCATGTTGGGGTAGGTGCACCACCCATTTTAGTTTATTTTAGTAGGGATTGGGATGTTCACTCGGGGTACGGGATTTTGACCTATGGCCATGTGGCATTTGTCTATATAATGTCACATCTGGCTGCGGCATGCCATGCTGTATGACAGTTCTGAGATCATGAAAAACCATTTTGATACGAACTATGTGCATCTGGCGGCTTGGGCTCCCCCAAATGGCGGGATGTTCATTTGAGCGTGCACCAAAATGGGCGGCTGATTAGGGGGACTGCATTCGGTTTATGCATGAATTACCCTCCCACTAGTTCGCATGGACCCCGTTTCGGGGCCCGCGGGTCCTTTGGACCACTGTGCTCTTGAAACGGGACCGGTTCGTGAAGGCCAGGTTCCATGAGGGTGGGAAAGTATCTGTTCTGGAAGCTCACTTCCTGATGGCATGTTTACGCTTGTGGGTTGCTTGGAGCATGTTGGCGGCAAGCAAAAAAGTTCTGGGCTTGGGCCATTTTGGCGGCAAACAAAAGAAGTTCGGACTCGGTTTTCGGCCCAAAACAACCAACTCGGGACGTGAACCCTGCAGCTGGGTTGGCATGGTCCAATCTAGAGGAGCGGGCGCAGTGCGGCGCGGCTCTATGAGATCGAGGCGCCCAACTGGCTGTGGGTCAACAATATGTACCCAAAATGGAACCCTGGTAAATGGAAACATGGACCAAAACCTGCGGTCCCCTGGTGGTTTAATTTTGACCCATACCCAACTCAGGAGTTGCCATGCTGTGAGGAGAGCTGTGTCTTCGGAAGTTTGGGGATTTGGGATATGAATCTTCAGGGGTTTGGATCTTCAGAAGCTCAGGGGTAGGGCTTTTGAAAAAATCAGTTTTCCAGGTTTTTTGGACATGTTGTACAAATTGCAGATTTGGTTGGATCTTTGGACTGCAATTTGAAACAGCCAACGAGTTGTTTTTCTTCCCGAATTGGACCCACCAATTTTTGTTCAGGCTTTTTGCAGAGGGGTCGTTGCAGCTTCCGAAGAGGTGTGGTTGCCTCTTCGAAGGGCTGCTTGGAATTCGAAGGACATTGAGAGACGAGAACCCGGACCAGAATCGTAGGTATTTTTGCTGCTATGACTCGACGCAAAGGCAAGAGGCCGCCTTTGATTGGCATTGCCCTTTGGATCTCTGAGGTGGAATTCTGAATTCCAGAAGAGTCAATTTGCCCGAAGTGCCAGTGCACCCATGAAGGCCACTCCTTCGCATTCGGGTAACCCGCAACAGCCACACTGAGCTGCTTGCCGTGATTCCATGGTTCAAGCCATGCAGAGCAAGTTGACACTTCAACACTCGCCTTGAAGGTGAAAGGTAACGTGTGTTTAACTCACTTCCTGAGTTCATGAACTTTAAACTTTTTGGGAAGACCATTTTGGTGGTAAATATAAAGTTTGGACTTTTTTTGGGCCATCCACTCAGCCAGTGAGTTAATGGCCGCAGCTTTGAAATATCGACCACGGTCAGACCGTTGGAATCAGCAGCTTTGGCTTGTGACCAATGTCGAAATCCTGCGCCAATGAGCGGGCCCTCAAACTCCAGTGGGCACAGTTTGCAAGGGCAGGACATCTTCTCAGCATGTCAGTTGCCTATATATATATATGAATTAAGCACTGCACCGCGCTCGCTGTGCCAAGTATCGAGCATGATGTTCCTTCCCTCACTGATCTTTTTGTTTTAATTCTCAGCATCAAAAAGATGTTGCCAGCCACTTTTGGCACGCAAAGGCAGGCGCCTGACGTGCTGAACTTGAAGCACACCTGAAGCACACTATGAGCGGAACCCGCAAACCCATCATTCCCCTCTTTGCTTTCCAACCGCTGGCTGCGCTATCTCATGCGGCGATTTTTGTGCATTGTGACAGTCGCCAAAATACCCGTCGACACCGGCCTCTTTCGTTTGCCCCTCCGCCCGCCCCTGCCATGTCAAGTTCCAACAAACCTCGCTAAGTCGGCGGTTCGCATGTATCCTGTTCCCATTGGAGAATAACTCTGCGATGGTGCCAGACAATTGACAGCTACAGACAACGCACTTTTTGTGGTTTGGTTTCATCCAAGTAGTCCTGTGAAGCTTTGGGGCAAGGTTGCTTTCAAACACCTAGAGACGATGTGTGTTGCCTGCGCCTGCTCGCCAGGATGATGGTTTTGGCTCCGCCGCTGGGCCGCCAGAATTTGCATGACATTGAGCCCTTTGACCTTTTGCTCGGAGGGATGAGGCCAAGCCACAGCTGCTTCAAGAAGTGTCATTGTTGGGAAATGTGATAATCCCATGCTCTTGGCGTGTTGGAAAAGGTAAGGCTCCCATTCGGCGTGTTCACGTGATAGTGACCCTAAATTTGACCCACCACAGAGTCCAGCTGCGGGGGCGCGGCCATGAACCATGTCCTTCCACCCACCGAAATTCCAGGATGCGGTTGGGTCATGCACCATGTGGGTGTGGGTCAAAATGAAACCACAAAAAAAACCACAGGTTTTGGTCCATGTTGCCACTTACCAGGGGGCCTGCCATTTTAGGGTTACCAGCTATTTTTGACCCCACAGCCATTTTGGCTTCCCTTGTCGCCAAGGTCCAACAAAAATTAGATCTACCCTTCAGAAAAGCACATGTGGGTGTCACCTACAAAATGGTACCTACCCCAAAATGGTAGCCTTGGTTTTGACAACCACATCCGTTGAAATTCTAATTGGTTCATCGTCGCGTCCCATGGCTTAGGACCTGCGACCAGGATCGCGGCCAAGCACCGTGAAGGACGGAGCCGTGTGGAAGGCCCGGCACCCGGCCGCCGAGGGTCCGAGGGTCCCGGAAGCCCTTCGGCGCATCGCCTGGAGAATGTAAGACCTCTGCTGTTGGGCAACGGATCTTCAGACTTTTACTTTTTGGTTGAACTCAAGTTGGGTTTTCCACTAGGCCCCCAGAAAGTTGTCCACTTTTTGCAGGTCAACAGCAACCAAGACTTGGGTGAAAGAAAATAACTGCACGTTCACCTGGCACGCAGTTGGACAATTCAGAGTATCGTGGCACCGAACCCCCCCCCCCCCGTTCTCAAAGCCCCACGACGCGCAGCTTTGAGCATGGAGGTTTCTTTTGCTATAGATACCCTCCCACCAACTAATTAACATGGAAGATAAACTTTCCTTTTAATGGATTTTTTGTCAGGTTCGTTAGTTGGTGGGAGGGTAATTCGATTTGAACTGCAGAAGTCTTATTGTTTTGGGCGCATTTCTTTCGGCAGAAAAGGTTGCAAACAACTGGCAGTTGCGTCGACCCCGATTGCAACAGCCAGGCGGCGTCCGTTGGCAGTGCCTTCGGCAAAGCTTGGACAGTCCCGGGGGGCGCCAGGTTGCGGCGCGTGCTTCAAGTTTCGGAATTGCAAAACAGCAGCGACCAAACATCTTCCCCAGAATTAGCTCCCTTTTTTTGTTTTGGCTTTTTTTGGGTCCCTTTGTTTTCCACTAACCAGGCAAAGAAAGATATGTTTTTGCTGGGTCCTAATTCCAGCCTAGACATATCATGACGAAGCTATGTCTTGGGCTGCCAAAATGGGATTCTACGGAAGAATGGTTCAGGACGTACAAAGTAATGTTGACGTCGGTTTAACACACCCTCCCCCTCCCCCCTCCTTTCTCCCCTAGAAGGTCAAACCTCGAATCAAACAATTAGCCAGGCTGGAGTTGAAGTCAATGGAGTTTTTCTGTGGGAAAATGGTTCTGCCGAACGGGCGGTGCTCATTTGGGTTCATCCCGGAGGCCCGCGTCAGAGTTGCCAGGCCGCGACGCGAGTCGCGAGAGCGTGGGCTCGCGATGTGTCCATAAGAACGTGCTCCGCCACAAGGCCTAGGTTTCCCCCAGCTAGGTGCCATTTTACCAACTTTTTTGGGGAGCGTTCCCCTACTAACATAGACTACAGAAAAAAAGGGTACCCTTATTCCATCCTCTGTTCTGGACCTAGAGGCTACCTTGTCAAATGCCCGGCCTTGCAACATTGCACGTCCCCGGCAAAAGGCTGCTCTACAATAATCTAACCGATATACAGAAGAATGAGGATGCATTTTTGTAAATCAGAGGCTGCGGTGTTTCATGGCATCGCATATGATAAGGCTACATGACATGGCTGCATTGGCTCCCAAATCCTGAAGTCAAGTTTTTCGCAGATCCACCATATCACAGCAAACATAAGGATAAGCTGCAGCCCTCAATTCTCAAGCCAAAGCCATGAATCAATGGCTTGAAACACCGGGCGCTTCTGTCGCCTTTTGCTTGAGTCAGAATTTCAACCCGAGCCATTGGGTTTGCGAACCCTGGGGCCTTGGAGTTGAGACGCGAGAGCCAAGGAAGCCAAAGCGCCTCCAGCCTTAGCCGCACACCTGCGCCCACTCCGTCCGCCTGGCACCTGGACAAAGGCAGGGCGCCCCAGGCTTTGAACAGCTTGCATGGCTCCAGACTGATTGGTGTGTCTTCAAATGGAAAGCCCGCAAACATGGGCTTCATGTTTTTTGCTTCTTGCTTCCCTATGAAAAGCTACAACCAAAAGACAGGGAAAGCCCCGTGTTGATTTTTTGGCATGTTGCTTCCCGATACAGCCAGCCCAAAAAGACGGGATACCCGATAAAAAGCAAGACACGGCCACACGTCCCTTGCAGATCTGCGGCCTCGCCGCCCAGGTCCGGCGGGGCCCAAGGGCTTCAGCTTAGAGGCGCAGGACATTTTTGGCGTCGGCAAAGCCCGGGGCCCCGCCCGTGCGGCGTGTTTTTTTGGTTTGTTTTGTTTTTTTGGTTTGTTTTGATTTTTGCGGCGAAGGTGCGGGAAAGGGAAACCGGGTTCATTTGGCGGGTCGAAACCGTTTGGGATCCCATTTTGGTTGGTAGGCGCACCACTCATTTTAGAACCTATTTTAGTGGGGATTGGGATGTTCACTGGGGTAAGGTGCAGAAAAGCCCAGAGGGTCAATTGGTACCTTCTACAAAGGTACTTAGACCCCTTTTTACTCCCAAAAGCCATCCTCAGGAGGTACTTGGACCCTCTGGGAAAGGGAAGCCGGGTTCATTTGAGGGCGGGGAAGTTGAAGTCATGGCTTGGAGGGTGGGCGGTGGATGCTGTTCCAGCATGATCCCATTGCAACGTAGTGCTGCATTTCTGTTTGTTCTCCGTTTGTGCCCAAGAAACCAATACTTTGCTCAGTGCAGGCGGGGGTACTTTGTGTGAGAAATGTCGTTTCAGATTAACGTCAGATGACGGACATGTTATTCATGGTTGCATGGCAGGGGTGGGGTGGGCAGAGAGCAAGCCGGACACACGCACACACAAAGACACACACACACACAAAGACACACACACACACACACCAACGCACGCACGCGCACACACACGCACGCACGCGCACATGCACGCACAAACAAACACAACACAAACACAAACACAAACACAAACACACACACACACACACACACACACACACACACACACACACACACACACACACACACACACACACACACACACACACACACACACACACACACACACACACACACACACACACACACACACACACACACACACACACACACACACACACACACACACACACACACACACACACACACACACACACACACACACACACACACACACACACACACACACACACACACACACACACACACACACACACACACACACACACACACACACACACACACACACACACACACACACACACACACACACACACACACACACACACACACACACACACACACACACACACACACACACACACACACACACACACACACACACACACACACACACACACACACACACACACACACACACACACACACGCACACACACACGCACACACACGCACACACACACGCACGCACACACACACACGCACACACGCACACACGCACACACGCACACACGCACACACGCACACACGCACACACGCACACACGCACACACGCACACACGCACACGCAGGCCCGCCCGCATGCGCGCACGAGCACAAGCACGCAAAGCACAGACACCGGCACAGCCAACAACAAAACACGCACATCCAGGCATATCTGCACATTGCAAGCACAAACGGTAGCTCCTTTTTGAAACTCGCGCTCGCAATCCCACAAACATGACACGAAAGCGAATGAACGACCAGAGGGACAGCAAGACGGACCGACCGACAAACAGACAGACACAAAAGCAACCACACAAACACGCAAAAGAAAACAAACAAGGACAGACAGACAAACAAACAACCAACCAAACAAACAAACACACAGACAAACACAAGCAAGCAGACACGCAAGCACGCAAACAAGCACACACGCGCACGCACACACACGCGCACGCACACACACGTCGACGTGCAGAGTCGCACATGTGTATGACCTCTTGGCTGGTGTGGGTCATGTGCTTTCCGTGTAAACTCCTGCATCATTGCTTTCAGTACATTGTCCGTTTGTACAAAAAGGATTACGCCGGCTTGTTTCTATTGACTGGCCGAAGCACGGCCCCCCACATGTCTGCGGGATCATGTCCACTGCAAGTGTGTTTTCACCTCATTTGATCGTCAACAAACTGCAAGCGAATGCCGGCAATTCGGAAAAGAGGAAGTAAGATAAACAAATCAAGAGGTGGCAAAGAAGGACTTTCTCAGAAAGAAGGGAAAGTTTGACTAGTCAGAAGTAAGCAGGTATATGCCGGGCTTTATGCCAACTTGTACGGTCCTTCAGTGGAGACGCTGCTGCGCCCCGGTTTTCCTCGACGCAGCCGAGGCCGCCAGAGTAAGAGTCAAGGACGGGAGTGAAATGGGGAGCCCGATGCAAACGATTTGGAAGGGTGCTCACACAGCCCAATTTCGGCACCGAGCAAAACAACTCCAACGGAGCGCGCGGCTTTTTGACCATACTTTCAGTGCGGTTCGCTGCGAGGCTACAATCTACTAGGTATGGGTTGCATGCTTTCACTGAAGCCGGGTCCGGAATCCAATATGGGAAAACTGGCAACATTTGGGATCATCCGCGTGCATGGTGAAGGTCCTCCATGGTCTTGTCAAGGCTTTGGTGCGAATAAATGTCCAAACATGTCCAATCCCATGTTAGGGCAACCTTTTTGCGATCCATGCAAGCATTGCCAGGCACAACAAGAGCAAGCCGCTTCATAGGCGCACTGGCGCACTGGTATCATGATGAAAAAGCTGGGATGAAGTAGTGGTTCAGCAGCAAACTTTTTTTAATGAACGACCATGACCCTTTGGAGCATGGTTTTGCTTGCCAGGAGGCTGGCCGAGTGCGCAACAGCAAGGCCATGTGCGTGAGACAACCGGCTCGTGGGGTTGGCGTTGGCACAAGTGGTCATCCGGCCTGCGAATTCTGGAAGCAGGCTTCTATGCCGTGAATAGGTATGACCCTTTTAACGGTCCTCTCTCAATTCAGGGCGGGCTGACCCTAGAATGGGACGTGCCAAAAGGTTTGTGTGAAGAATGATTAAGCGGAAGCAGAAAGGCTTTCACTGTCGCAATGGCATGTGCGATTTTCCACTCTACTTCTAATTGGGTTGGCTCTTTAAACTTTAACTTTTTGGATTCCCCTCATATCTCCTTTTAACCATCAAAATGTGAAACACACTTTGTGCTGAGGGATCTACAGCACCCAAGTCCAAGCTGCTACGCTGCATGGCCAAGGTTTGTTTGCAAGGCTGGCAGGGCTCCCCGCCCGCACTTCTGTCCACTGATTGGGCACCGTCCCCGCACACCAGGACCGGTTTGCGTATGTCAAAGCCTGGAAATCTTGAGATCCAGTTCAATGAGCTGAGTTTCAATTTGTTTTACTATTGCTGGAGGCTCTTTTTTTGACATTTGGAATTGAGTTTCAATTTGTTTTACTATTGCTGGAGGCTCTTTTTTTGACATTTGGAATTGAGTTTCAATTTGTTTTACTATTGCTGGAGG